AGGGGCCACCCTTTAGCGCTTGTCTGCTTTCGCTCTCTGGAGTGAGCTTGATAATAATTTGGGGAGCATTCTTCTGAGACCCTTTTCTAAGTGCCACTCACTGATATAGTTTTATGTCTCATTTACATTCAATTCTGCCTAAAAATGATAATCAGAACAATGTATCTTGTTTTATGACATGGTGTCTTTTTTTCCTGCCTATTACATTCTTTTCACAGTAAACTTTAAAGTCTTATTTACTTTTTTTTTTTCCTTGAGACGGCATTTTGCTTGTTGCCCAGGCTGGAGTGCAGTGGTGCCATCTCGGCTCACCGCAACCTCCGCCTCCTGGGTTCAAGCGATTATCTTGCCTCAGCCCCCCCAGTAGCTGGGACTACAGGCATGTGCCACCCCGCCCAGCTAATTTTGCATTTTTAGTGGAGACAAGGTTTCTCCATGTTGGTCAGGCTGGTCTCAAACTCCCGACCTCAGGTGATCTGCCTGCCTTGGCCTCCCAAAGTGCTGGGATTACAGGTGTGAGCCACCACACTCAGCCGTTTTTAACTAAACTTTTTATTTAAAAGTAAATGTAGATTCACATATGCTTGTAAGAAATAATACAAATCCTGTGTACACTTTCTTCCAATGATAACACCTTGCAAAACTGTAATATTACAACCAGGATGTTGATATTTATGAACAATCCAGGGATCTTTTTCAGATTTTCCCATTTTACTTGTTCTTGTGTGAGCGCGTGCGTGCACGCGTGTGTGTGTGTGTGTGTGTGTGTGTGTGTGTGTGTGTTTATTTTTGGTTTTGAGACAGGGTCTCGCTCTGTCGCCCAGGCTAGTGGGCAGTAGCAGTGCAGGCTCCCGTGATCTTCTCACCTCAGCCTCTCACCCAGCTGGGACTGCAAGTGTGAGCCACCATGCCTGGCTAATTTTTTTTTTGGTAGAGACTAGGTCTTCCTAAGTTGCCCTGCTGGTCTCCAACTCCTTGGCTCAGGCAATCCTCCTGCCTTGGCTTTCCAAAGTGTTGGGATTACAGGCGTGAGTCAGAGTGCGCAGCCAAGTTCTACACAATTTTATCATGTTTAGTTTGTGTTTCTACCACAGGCAAGATACAAAATGGTTCTTCATCATTCTCCCGTTGCATTTTAAATAAAATGATTTGCCGTGTTCAATACTATATATTTCTCCAGGTGAGGTACACAGGTGACAGGCTCCAAAAGGCCACTTTTAATCATTACAATAGTACTGCCCAAGAAAACCCAAGAGCCACAAATGAAAGTTGCCTATGGCCGGGTGCGGTGGCTCACACCTGTAATCCCAGCACCTTGGGAGGCCAAGGCGGGTGGATCATGAGGTCAGGAGATGGAGACCATCCTGGCCAACATGGTGAAACCTCGTCACTACTAAAATACAAAAAATTAGCCAGGCATGGTGGCACGTGCCTGTAGTGCCAGCTACTCAGGAGGCTGAGGGAAGGGAATCGCTTGAACCTAGGAGACAGAGGCTGCAGTTAGCAGAGATCGTACCACTCCAGCCCGGCAACAGAGCAAGACTCTGTCTCCAAAACAAACAAACAAAAAACCCCAAAAAACAAAAAACAAACAAACAAAAGTTGCCTATGAAATTAGACATTTCCCAGGAGCCAAAGGTAAAAGAGGCCAATTTAAATAATATATTTCAGGAAACCCAATATATCCAAATATCCTCATTTCAACATGTAGTCACTATAAAAAGTATGAATGAGGCCGGGCGTGGTGGCTCACGCCTGTAATCCCAGCACTTTGGGAGGCTGAGGCGGGTGGATCACGAGGTCAACAGATGGAGACCATCCTGGTCAACATGGTGAAACCCCGTCTCTACTAAAAATACAAAAAACTAGCTGGGCATGGTGGTGCGTGCCTGTAATCCCAGCTACTCAGGAGGCTGAGGCAGGAGAATTGCCTGAACCCAGGAGGCGGAGGTTGCGGTGAGCCGAGATCGTGCCATTGCACTCCAGCCTGGGTAACAAGAGCGAAACTCCGTCTCAAAAAAAAAAAAAAAAAAAAAGTATGAATGATTTGTTACTTTTCTCATACAGTCTTTGCAATCCAGTGAGCCTGCTCCTCTGCCAGCTGTTAGCATGGATTGAGCACCTACTATGTGCCTGACTCCATTCCAGACCTGGGACACAGACCAGTTCCTGCCCTTTGAGAACACAGGCCAATGGAGGGGACAAGCACAGTTCTAGAACACGAAACAGGCCATGGTAGAAGCATGCACATCGGGCTGGGAACACCTGGTTATTAGGGAAGGCTCCGTGGGGGCTTGGCCTCAAAGCCCAGTGGCAGCAGGGGGACCGGTCAGAGGGAGCCCCAAGTGTCTGTGTGGGAGCCCTCAAGAGGAGAGGCACTTTGGAGGGAAGGCCCAGTGTGGTTTGGGGACATACAGCAAAAGATGGCCCCTCCTCAAAGTGAATGGACGCTGGACTCTGGGGTGCAGGGCAGGATTCTGGGCTTGCTGTTGAAGTTTTCTTGGAGGTTGATGTCACTGGAGGTGTGGAGATGACTCAGGCCAGAAAGTGCGTGGGAAGCATGGAGAGTGGGGTACAGAGTCCACCACGTGGACAGCCAACATCAGGGGGATGCCCAAGGGAGAAAGAAAAACCAGGGACCACCTGAGGAGGCCAGGCAGGAGTGCAGGGATCTTGGAGGCAGGCCCCCAACCCAGATGGAGCCACCCCAGCCCCTTCTGTTCTGAGGTTACAACAGGTGATGGCTCGGTGGGGCTGCAATGAGAAGTGGCATGCAGGGAGGGCCAGGGGAGGAGAGACATGCTGTGGGTCCCAGGTTCAGATCCCAGGACTGAATTGGAAGGGCCCTGTCTGTGTTGAAGTTCAAGACCTACCACTTTTGTTCCCAGGCCTCTCAGTTCTTCCTTACTTTTTTGCAATTTCATTTTTGATAATTTCAGTTTCCTAAATGTACACATCTGACTTCATTTTCACTCACATCGCACCCTCACGCCTCCACCAGCCCTTTCTCACTATTACACACCCAGGAGACACAGGAGGTATAAGGAAGGTCTGGAGCCCCAAGAGCCAGGAGCCTTAGAAGTCAGGTGTCCAGAGAGCCAGGAACCCTGACACCCAGGATCCCCAACACCCAGGGGCCCTGACAGCCAGGAACCCCAACAGTCAGAAGCCTCTACCACCAGGAACCCCGATACCCAGGGTCCCCTACAGCCAGGAATCTCAACACCCAGGGACCCCTACTATATCCAGGAACACCGATACCCAGGAGCCCCTACTATAGCCAGGAACCCCGACCCCCAGGAGCCTCTAGTATAGCCAGGAACCCCGACCCCCAGGAGCCTCTAGTATAGCCAGGAACCCCGACCCCCAGGAGCCTCTAGTATAGCCAGGAACCCCGACACCCAGGAGCCCCTACTATAGCCAGGAACCCCAACACCCAGGAGCCCCTACAGCCAGGAATCTCAATACCCAGGGGCCCCTACAGCCAGGAGCCAATACAGCCAGGAACCTCCACAGCCAGGGGCCTTGACGGCCTGAAGTCACTACAGCCAGGAACCCTGACAGCCAGGAGCCACTAGAGCCAGGGAGCCCCGACAGCCAGGAACCGCGGGAGCCAGGAGGCCCGCAGCGGAGTGCGCAGACCTGGCAGGGTCAGAGCCCCGCAGCGTCCGCCGCCACTTCTGGGATTTCCCAGGCTCTGCAGCGGTCGGTGCACACAGGGGCGGGACTATTCCCCGCGCAGCCGTTCCGCGCTCCGCTGCCCCGCCCACATCCGGCCGCGGGCACTCGATTGCTCCTGTCTGGTGGCGGCAGCATGGCGGCGGGGGCGGCTCAGGCGGCTGCAGCGGCCGTGGAGGAGGTCGGCTCCGTCGGGCAGTTTGAGGAGCTGCTGCGCCTCAAAGCCAAGTAAGCGGGGAGGCGAGCGGCAGGAGTGAGGCGTCGGGGCAGGCGTGGCCGCGGGACCGGGCCGGCGTGGGACGGCGGGCCGCCCAGCCCGGCTCCTTGGCGCCCGGCTCGCTTCGGCCTCGGGGGACCGGGCCCGGCGCCGCCCGTGGACTCCCCCGCGCCTCAGGCGCTGACTGGCCGGAGCCGCGGGCTTCCCGCCCCGGGACAGCGAGCAGGGCGCGGGGTTCGCCCCGCAGCCCCAGCCCCACCCGGCCCCGACGCCGGCGACGGCTGTCCAAGCCCGAGGGACGCGACCTTCCCGGCGCCTGGCCTGGGCGGCCCCGCGGGGGACGGAGGCGGTGACTCAGCTGCGCCGCGGGGCGGGGCGGGGTACGGGGCGGCGCCGAGACCCCGGCCCTCCTCCGAGACCCCCGCCAGGGAGCGGGGAGCCGCGGCTGCGGGCTCCGCCTTTCCTGCGCCCGCCGGGAGGGTGCTGCAGGCTCGGCGTCGGCCCCTTCCACTTCGCCTCCCTCCAGGAACGCCCCTGTGGCGGGAAGAGCGACTGGGGAGCCCCGCGGCGCTCGCTAGGCCTGGCCGGCTTTTGAAGTCGCCTTTAAAGTTTGCTGGTCAGCAGGTAGAGCCAGTGTTCAGACTGAACCTGTTGCCGGAGACAGAGTTCCTGTTCGCTGAACTGGCTTAGTGAGAGTCCGTTCAGGTTTGGCACCGGTGTCAAGCCTGCAAGCCTTGGGGACACCGCAGGAGATCCACGGGAAGGCAGAGAACATGTTTTCGGGGTGTGCTAGAAGCTCTGAACTGCAAACATGCTGACGAGTCGGTGCTGCTGCAGGGAAAGGTCTGCACGTGGACTCTCCGTGGTAATTAATACCACCACATTGTAGACCACTCCGAGGACTGACTTGTTCCCTCAGTTGTATTAGTGTTTTTTTTTTTTTTTTTTTGACTATTACAAAAGTTTATTTAACAAAAAGTCTAATATGAAAATGTGCATAACCTAATTTTTACATCATAGTAAAACAGGCCCTGTGGAGAGAGGACATGGGCTTCCCCGCTGAACAGCCGTTATTTATACTCGTTCCAAGGCTTCTAACATGATGATACTATTTCCTCGTATTACCACCATTCCAGTATTGTTCTGTTGTCCGCTAGTCGCCATCTCCACACATTCATGGATCACAAGATTCATAAAGGGATCAAATCCCCGCAATATTCCTTGAACATGTCTGCCACCATTTAATTTCAATGATAACTTCTTGTCCATACATTTTTTCAACTCGGGAGGGTGAGCTTTGCTCATGATGGCTACTCCTCGGGCACACACCATATTAGTGGCTTTTAAGGGAACGCTTACGTTGGATTGCCTGGGATCCAGTCCTAACCCAGCCACTCACTAGCCGTGTAACCCCTGGGCACGTTTCATACCCAAGCCTCAGTTTCTCAGCGGTGAAATAGATTAGCGCCTATTAGTACCCCAGGGTAGTTGTGACGGTTAAATGAGGTGATGCACGTAAAATGTTATTAATACAATGCCTAGTATGCAGGAAACACTCAATAGATGTTGGCCCTTAGTTATTTCAGTAGGGAGCAGAGTGGTTCATGGAATTCACAGGCAAAAAATGGTCTGGCTCTGTCACCCAGGCGCGATCACGGCTCACTGTAGCTTCTGACTCCCGGGCTCAAGTGATCCCACCCATCTCCTCCTCCCATCTCAGCCTCCTGAGTAGCTGGGACCACACGGCTTTCACCACTACGGTTTTTTTTTTTTTTTTTTTTTGACACCGAGTCTCGCTTTGTTTCCCAGGCTGGTGTGCAATGGTGCAATATCAGCTCACGCAACCTCTGTTTCCCTGGCTCGAGCAGTTCTGCCTTAGACTCTCAGGTAGCAGGGATTACAGGCGCCCACCACCACACCCGGCTAATTTTTTGTATTTTTAGTAGACTGGGTTTTACCATTTTGGCCAAGCATGTCTGGAACTCCTGACCTCAAGTGATCCGCCCACCTCAGCTTCCCAGAGTGCTGGATTATAGGTGAGAGCCACCGTGCCTGTCCAATTTTTATATTTTTTTGTAGAGACGAGGTCTCGCCATGTTGCCCAGGCTGGTCTCGAACTTCTGGACTCAAGCGATTTGCCTTCTTCAGCCTCCAAAGTGTTGGGATTACAGGCATGAGCCACCACGCCCATCCAAAAATACTTATTGATGTAAATTTTGTTTTGTTTTGTTTTGGAGACAGGCTATTGCTCTGTTGCCCAGGCTGGAGTGCAGTGGTGTGATCTTGGCTCACTGCAGCCTCGACCGCCCAGGTTCAAGCGATCCTCTAACCTCAGCCTCCTGAGTACCTGGGACTACATGTGCCGACACCATGCTGGGCTAATTTGTGTATTTTTTGTAGAGATGAGGTTTCCTTCTGTTGCCCAGCTGGTCTTTGGAACACCTCAACTCAAGTGATCTACCTACCTTGGCCTTGTAAAGTATTGGTATTATAGGCTTGAGCCCCTAGACTGGCCCTGTTGATCTAAATTGAGTGAAATTTTGCTGACTGAATTTGAATTAGAGACAGGTAGTACTATGATTTTGTCATGGGGAGTGCAGGTGAGATGGGGGTGTTGCCTTTGGAAATGGGGAGGAGTGAGAGTTACTAATGCTTAGAAATGCTTTACTAATGGTTAGAAATGCTTTATGGGGGTGATGAAATTAAAAGTGTTATTTAAAACTGCGCCTTAGGCATTTCACGTTTACCTGAGAAATTGTTAAAAAAAAAGCAGGGGTTGGGGGGAACACTTAAAGTTTACTCACTGATGGAAGCTGAGTTCTTAATCATCCAGTACAGGTCAGCACAATCACAGGAGTCACCAGAAGTGGCCTCTTGAAGTAAGCAGCTCTTGTGTGGACCTGCTCTAAATAAACGTTTTGAATTTACATCACCTGAAAAGACTGTTTTGCGGGTGTGTGTTTTATGTTTGTTTTTATGCTTCATTTTTTAAAAAGTCCTTAAACTATCAAAATGGATAAAAGTTTTTTTTTTTTTTTTTCTTTTTTCTTGAGATGGTGTCTTGCTCTGTCCCCCAGGCAGCAGTGCAATAGCAGCCTGTGCCTCCCAGGCTCAAGCACTTCTCCTGCCTTAGCTCCCGAGTAGCTGGGATTACAGGTGCCCGCCATAATAGCTGGCTAATTTTTGTATTTTCAGTAGAGATGGGGTTTCACCGTGTTGGCCAGGCTGATCTAGAACTACTGACCTAAGGTGATCCGCCTGCCTCAGCCTTCCAATGTGCTGGGATTACAGGCGTGAGCCACTGCATGTGGCCAAAATGGATAAAAGTTTAAATGTAAACACCATTTGGATGTACCCTTGCCACTGGCCTGTGCTTGAAATGACCTAGAAAATAATGTACACTTTCCTTAGTGACTAGTTTAAATGGACACATGGGAAATGATGTGTGGCATCTGGGGAAGGAGCAAGTCTCTGCAGCTTTTTTGGTGAAGATGCAAACATTTAACAATATTGTGGTGGCTACACCAGCAATCCCAGCAATTTGGGAGGATGGGTTGAGGCCAGGAGTTTGAGACCAGCATGGGCCACATAGTGAGACCTCAGCTTTCCAAAAAAATAAAAAAAGTAGCCAGGCATGGTGATGCGTACCTGTAGTCCCAGCTACTCATGAGGCTGAGGTGGGAGGATTGTTTGAGCCCAGGAGTTCCAGGCTTTGGTGAGCTGTGATCCTGCCATTGCACTCTAGCCTGGGTGGCAGAGTGAGACCCTGTCTCAAAAAACAAACACAAAGTGCCCGCATTTTACTACTTATGTGGCTGTAATAATTTTAAATCTACTTTCCAAATCTTTGCTTCTCCAATTTTAAAATGTGACATGCATTGAAATTTTTTTTTTAAGTAATTGAGCCAGATATTTACATAAGATGCTGAAATCTCAGCTGGTCTATACTGTGGGGTTATTAATATCCATTTGCAGAGTAATTAAGCAGGTTTGCTTAGTATATAATATGTTTAATAAGTAGTAGCTGGTATTATCTGCAGATGAATAACTGAAGTAGTGGAATACTATAATAATTGAAAAACAACTACTTACTGATGAAGAGCTGAAGTTTATTACGTTGTATAAAATTACATTAGTCAGGATTTGAATGGTTTTTGTCTGATGCTTTTTTTCAACAATGCAGGCATACTGGGCTATCCATGAAGAGGGAAAGAACACTGTTACATGTAATCCAAAAGATTATATTTGTTTCAGATAGAGTATGTCCTTATAATATTGGACATTATGTGGTTAATTAAGAAATGAAAGTTAAGCATCTAAATAGGAGAATATTGTGAATAATTTCAACTAACTGCTAACATTATACCATGTTTTAATGTTTTCAAACGTTTTTGTTTCTTTTCAACATCGCAGAGTGCTGGGTATTGCTGTTTTACAGATGTGGAAGTTATTACTCTTCAAAGCCATGTTTGTAATTGTGAAAATGAAACTTGAATTCAGGTTTTTTGTTTTTTTTTTGAGACAGTCTCACTCTGTCACCCACGCTGTAGTGCAGTGACATGATCTTGGCTTACTGCAGCCTTCGCTTCCCAGGTTCAAACGATTCTTCTGCCTCAGCCTCCTGAGTAGCTGGGACTGCAGGCACGCATCTGGCTAATTTTTGTGTTTTTAGTAGAGATGGGATTTCACCATATTGGCCAGGCTGGTCTTGAACTCCTGACCTCATGATCTACCCAGCCTTGGCCTCCCAAAGTGCAGGGATTACAGGTGTGAGCCACCACACTGGGCCAAATTCAGGTTTTTTGTTTTTTTTTTTTAAGATGAGGTTTCACCATGTTGATCAGGCTGGTCTTGAACTCCCGACCTCAGGTGATCCGCCCACCTTGGCCTCCAAAGTGCATGGATTACAGGTGTGAGCCACCAAGCCCAGCCTAAATTCAGGTTTTACGGCACACTTTCTTCTTCTCTGTTTTACTTTTTGGGTTCATACTGTTAGAAAGTTGGGTAACCTACTTTAAGTTTTGAAAAATGTAGTTATATTATGAGTATTTTCCTGTGGCATTAAAAGTTCTTTGAAAATTTGATTTGTAATGGCTTTATAGTATTTTCTTATGACCATTTAAAAACTGTATTGTTGAGCATCAGAATTTTCTAGTTATTTGCTACGTAAAATAGTGGGAAAATATTGTCTCTTAGTTACTTCCTTAGGATTGATACTTATGTGTAAGAAATTTCTGAAAGATCTCAATTTAATTTTTACCAACAGAGTATGAAAGTACTTCTTGCCATCCTTTTTATCATTGAATATTATGATTTAAACAGTCCTCTTATTGGCTGGGGACAGTGGCTTATGCCTGTAATTGCAGCACTTTGGGAGGCCAAGGCAGGTGGATTGCTTGAGCCCAGGAGTTTGAGACCAGCCTGCTCACTGGCGAAACCCCATCGTTACAAAGAACAAAGCAAAACAAACCCAGAAAATAATAGCTGGGTTTGGTGGCGTATGCCTGTAGTCTGGGAGGCTGAGGTGGGAGGATCGCCTGAGCCCAGGAAGTTGAGGCTACAGTGAGCTGTGATCACGCCACTGCACTCCAGCCTGAGCATTAGAGTAAGACCCTGTCTCAAAAAAAAACAAAAACAAAGCAAAACAAAAAAAATGCACCAACAAAAGGCAGTAACAAAATGCACAGATCTTAATTGTCAGATTGATTAATTTTGACAGTTGTATGCACACCAGTAACCACCATTCACAGGAAGAATGTAGAACCCCAGGAAGTCTTCTATCCCCTTTCCCTTAACTACTGATCTCTTACTGTCACTGTAGATGAGCTTTCCCTGCTCTTGGACTTTGTGTGAGAGGAATCATACAGTCCTTTTTCATGTTTGTGGCATCTTTTGCTCACATATTTTTGAGCTTCATCCGTGTCATTGCCTGTGTTTGTAGTTGGTTTCATGTTACTGCTAAGTTATATTCTGTTATATGAATATCTATAACTTTCTCCCATTTGCGGACATTTGGCTAATTTCCAGTTTTGGGTTATTATCTGTAGGGCTGCTGTGAGCATTCTCTCATGAGGCCACTGTGAAACCTCTGTTTTTGTTCTCGCCACTCTTAGGCCATGGAGCTTCCCTGGATCCTCTTCATTGCTGGAGGCTATAGTGGACAGAGGCTCCCGAGGGAGGGTTTTGAGGGGATCAGGCCTTTGCTCTAGTTTTAGGGCCAGAATTCAGTTCCAGGGCCCCAGAAAACTGCAAGATAGACTGAAAAATGTAATCTAGCTGAATGCACAGGGGAAGATGAAACAGTGCTTGATTGAAACAGTGTAGTCTCTCTGCCTTGGACCTGAGGCCCCACCCACCTACTCAACCATTGAAGCTGCTGCGTTGTGTGGGATGCAAATTAACACCCAGTGGCTAGGGGGCCCCTATATGTGTCCTTCCTTGCCTTAGGTGGGTCTGTCTTTGGAGCTTCCTGCTTTCCTTTTGTGTGCCCTTCATCAGCCCTACCAGTGGTCTCTGCCCTCTGTTTTCCTATGTTTCAGCAAATGACTTTGCTTCCCACCTTAGATAAAACAGGACTTCTCCCTGAGCCCTCCTTCCACTCCCACCTCTCCCAACACATACCATTTATTCATAGCCTTACTCATTTTTAATTCCTTGGCTCCTGACTCAGAGGAGACTGCCCTTCTTCTGCAAGGTAAGCTGTTCTCTGCTCTGAATTTCCCCTCTCC